GTGTTTGTGTGTGTGGAAAATATCTTCCGAATCCATAGAGGAACCACACAGACTGAATGCAAATCACAACGGGGTGCGTTGTACATAACCGCATCACTCGACATACTTGTTGCTCTTCTGCACTTTCTGTTTCCGATGGGGAATCCACACATCCTCCGGTATTCCCGATGACATGGCAACCTGGTGTACGAACCTCACGCTCTTAGACTGGGCCGCATTTGTTGCTTGTTTCGTACTGAGTTGTGTGTTTGCAAATACTTTATTACTTGCATCTCGTAAAAACTGCATGTGTGTGTTTATATGTACAATCTTCAGCGTCCATGTCTAGAAAATATTGACGCGCCACTAAACGTATATGTTATGTATATACTCGCAGACTGAGACATTCATTCATAGTTAATGCTGAGTGTTCATGCGTACACTGACCAGCATGTACACGCCCATCATCTATACCAAGATAAGTACAGCTACAATCATACTGGTTTCTATGGGAACCAGTATTTTCAACTATCACTGTATATACATGCGAATCGAATGTCCATGCGATATAATAGCGCATATACACAACTATGTATATGAATCTATATCTAAGCATATTGTGGAGCAGGGGTATGCAACACCTATCAAGAGCGAATTTCAATACAGGTATAACCGCATATACATAAACACACCCAAACGTGCACAAGCAAGACTATGCTTCGCTCATACAAGACTGAAAAAATCTTGCTGCCGGCATTCCGCTAAATTGTGTGTTTGCCCATATCTGTTTGGATGTTTAGTATATCTCCTTTGTGCGACCGATACACACTCATCAGGAGACATATAGCTCGTCTGCCCTATATATTGTGGGACAAGGACATTTGTTGCCCTTTTCGTTCGCTGAGGTGTGTGTAGATATCGATGACGTATGTCCTCTAGCATGCACCAAGAAACTCACGACTATTCACAGTTGCCTTCGGAAATGATCGCGTGCAGTGCTAGTCAGTACCTTCGCATTGTGTGTGTGTGGGCTCACTGGTGTAGGATACAGGGATATATATGCTAATAGAACGTTATATACGTTTCACGCTTGGAAGATTAGGGGCAACTGGAAGGGATTGGAAGGGATCAATGTACTAGTAGTGTGATAAATATTTCAGTAACCACTTGCGCTAAACAACGTTTTGAATGCGGAAGTGGCAGGTAGTGGTACAAGGCACAAGTAGCACCGTATATGTTCTATGCATTTAACAATTTCGCAGCCAAGTGCAGACACTAAGAGCTACTAGGCATATGATCTATTACACACTTCCGCAAATGGAACCCACTCCAATCGGGCATATATACACACTTACGTAGACAAATTACATTCTAATTGGACATGTGAATCTGAAGTAGCAACGCAAGACTTTCCCGTTAAATTCCACCAAACATATCCTCAGTTTCCATATGGTCAAAACGTATGGAAATACCCTCAAATCACATAAAATTTCAGGAATGGCATGCACAGACGCACACGCATATTAGGTAAGCATACACACACGCGTAACAGTGATACATTCACGTGTGTAAAAGTACAACGCAGACAAGAGTTATGTACACACACACAATAATATCATGTTCGATAAGCAATGAAGAAGAGTGCACACATGTGATGCGTAAACATATAGCTGCGCTGAGACACCAATACAGCCATCCCATGCACGCCCATGCACTTTCACGCAAACTAACACGGGTACAAACACGTATGACAATATAGGTCACCCGCTGAGTGGATGCCTGTACACACACCTGGGGAGGATGCCGTTTATCCGTAGGGCCGGATTGTGTGTTGATCGCAGCATGGTGCCAAGTACCGTTCGTCTCCACTTTGGGTCGTTAGTCATCATCTGAATACGTGATTAGCCTTTTTTAATCTATATGCATGTCCCATGTGCTCCCATTTGGGTTCAAAAAATATCGATTTAAGGGTTTCCCTATTTATAGATATACAAATTTCAATGTACGGGAATATACATCCGTACGTATTTGTGAATGCCAATGCTCTGATGTCTCAGGTCGCTTCTTGCCAGTGTACTTTGGTTTGCATAAATTAAAAATAGCCAAAAGTCGAACAAAATACAATGCTTGGTAATATAGACAACCCCCATATACTCTTAACGTTGTCACGTGGACGACAATTACTTGCACACCCTTGGCCCAATCCGTACCCTCCATACATATCGGAACAATTGAACACGGTTTATCATACACTGAACCACATATTACATACATGCGCACTCACTACCTGGGAAACAGGCATGCACTTGTCCGAGAGCGCAGCCATGATCTGGGTGGCAGTTAAGATCTTTGCGTCGTCCAGCGCCGATTCGCATTTGAAGATGGGCATGATATGCAGGGGGGGTTCTGTGATGTTAGAAATGGATGTGCGGTTGTGTGAGTGTTGGGATGGGTTGAAGTTTTTAGGGCTTGGGACTTAATCGTGGGCTTAGGTATATATGTATGTGGCTGTATGTGTGTGTGTAATAATGCGAGTGTGAGAAGCTGTGTGTGTGTATGTGTGTGTGCGTGTGTGTATATGCGTATATATATATGTATGTGTGTGTGTGTGTGTGTGTGTGTGTGTGTGTGTGTGTGTGTGTGTGTGTGTGTGTGTGTGTGTGTGTGTGTGTGTGTGTGTGTGTGTGTGTGTAGTAGTAGTAGTAGTAGTAGTAGTAGTAGTAGTAGTAGTAGTAGTAGTACGTACGTACGTTACGTACGTACGTACGTACGTACGTACGTA